ATTGATTATGTTTAAATTGTATTGAACTGATAATATATATAATATTTGTACTATATCAATATGTATGAAAAGCGTAAAACAACGAGTTAGAAGCTGGGCATATCTCGCACCATGAGTATGCTAATACTGTTGTATGATGGGAAGTTATGGGAGATATATAAAGGATAAAGGCATTTTAGTTTGTATAGTACAAGCGGCGATAAAAAAATTGCGTAAAACAGCAAGTTTACGGTGAAGTACTAGTGCAGTAGTAGGTGTAGCAAATTTTTACTGACCTAAAAGGTGAAAGAAATTTTGTCTTAGTAAAACCATAATAACTTCGTTTTTATACTCAATCTAAAAAAATCGAATACGCAATATTTGTCTTGTCATTCGGTTGTATATATATAGGTGAAACGTTTTAACAATAGAAAATATGAGCGTACATACTATTGTGTTATTAAACATTAATTATTAGTCACTTACAATACCAAATTATCAAGTGGCAAATTATTATGCCCGCACTATGTAATACAAACGCATAAACAGATGCACGAACGTAATTACATTTAAATACAACAAACATATACAAATCAACATAAAATATTATATTCAGAGCGAAATATCAAATCAAACGGAACGCAATACAATTTTGTTTTCATAATAGCGGATAAATGTTGCATAATCGAAACGCGGAGTCGATATTTTCTTCGCTGTACACTCGACGACATACCTACCTAGATTTAATTATACGAGTGTATAAATGCTCGCATTTATTTTCCCGGACCCCTGTACGTAGTTCAATAACGGTTGTCATAGTTACCTACTTTTACTAAGATACTTACGTACTACGATAATCTACTGTCGTGCTTGAATAAAATGCAGTCGTACAAATGCGAAAAAAAAAATGTTTTACAATTACTTAACAACAGAACGTTAGATTTTTGAAAATAAATGAACTTTTTCAACTTCTAATTTCTTCGTGTTCTTCTTTACATTCGTTCCAACTATTTGGTGGGGTCGACCACCCTCGTTCTATACTTCCACTTGACCAGATATTCCATCTCGCATACACCGTCTGTCATCTTATTATTGTCAATCGTATCCAACCATCTTTTTTTCAGTCTTCCTCTTCACCTCTTCTCTCCTACGTTTTATTTTTAATATTTACTGCTTCAGACTCATCTCTCTATTTACTGTACTTTATAAGGCATGCTTAGGCTAATTCTTATGTACTTATTTCTCATCCTATCATCTCTCATCACTCCACTAATATACCTAAGTATTCTCATTTTTGTCAATTTATTTTTTGTTTTATTTTTCTGTCTACCGCCTAACACACCGAATCATACAATATAGTCATTCTCACTCCCGCTCTTCTGCAGAACTCTACTTTAAGTCTCATCGGAATTCTCATCACAAAAATACCTGGAATTTTATCTGACTACTTTTAATCTTATATTTCCTATGCTCGTGAAAACCACCGTTATTTTGAACAAATGATGATTAGTCTTTAAAAATCTCAATCTCGCTTACAGACGTTTATTTTCTATTTATTCTATCTATATTTTTATTATTAGCTGTTATGTCCTGTTCTTTTGAACTCATATACTCTGTTTTACTTCTACCTTAGTCCTTTTCCTTCAAGTGGTACTCTCCATTTCTCATATCTATTGTTAACTTATTCCAGATTTTCTTCAATCAAAGATGTACCATTTAAAAATATCGTGAACCATGGTATATCCCTTACATAGAAATGATTTTCTTAATAATTGGGAAAAATAAAGGAAATTTGTACAGTATACTAGTAAAAGTTTTTTCAAAGCGTGATAAAATCGTCAAAACATTCTAACTATTTGTCAGTAATTTATACGCATTCGACGTTTTCTATGTTTTGTTTTAGTTTTTATTTGATTTTATGTGGATAATAAAATTGACCGTTCAAACAGATACACTCGACTGCTTAACACGGGATACATTATAAACCGTACTCAGTGGAAAATACAATAAAAATAAATTTTCCACAAAGTGCATAATGTCTAACACTGCCAGATTTCGTCACTGACGATAAATTTATCGAGAGATGGCTAAAGTTGTGCAATTGCGCGGGAGGGGAAAGGGTACCCTACGATTCTCACGATTGCGATGTAGATAAGTATATATTGATAGGTATAGGTAGGTAAATAGTGTATGATACCGTTTCTTAACCATTCCTACGTATTCGGACGATGTATCCCAGAGGAATAAAATCGAATGATCGTGTATATATCTATATATATATACACGTATAGGCGGAGACGTCGTGTGCACCGTGGTACGTGTATTTTACTACACACACACCGCAGAAGCCCGAGTGTCATTGATTGCGGGGCTATTGTTAAATTTCAACCGTTATCTGTGATCTCCGGAAAATTGTTTCTAATCAAGTTACGGTATTATTGCGTTTCTATATACGGAAAGTTCCCCTTATATAAAACGGTTTGTCATAGAGCAGAGGAGGGGACCTCTAGCGGATAGGGAGCGTCGTCAGTGATTCATCTCACGTAGATACCAATTTTAATACCGTGGGTCTAACATATATGATTGTAGTTCGATACGTTTTTATCGGCGCGTACGAACGAACAAAACGGAATAAAAATATCGTCGGTTCTAAGGTATTAAAACGCAATAATAATAATAACACGGATTGTCATTGTTTCCAACTAAACGTCCATTTCGTGACGTTTTTCAAATTCGGTTAAGACTTATTTTAGATAAAAGATAATCGACGAACTATAATCCGCACTGTTTTTTTAGTAGGTTCGTACTGTGGTACCAGTATTCTTAATTTGTTGGGTTAAAAATATCACTTATATGTCGGTTAAGTAATTATTTGGTGCCATTAATATATGGCTTGATTCTAATCAGATGTTGCATACATTTATACATTTATTGGAAACATTTTAATTTGTTATTTTGAAAACCACTTGAATTAGAGCTCAAACAGACTACAAATAACAATTTAAAAAAAAACATCCGTGAGGAGCAGAGCTCCATCGCTAGAGCCGAATTTTCTCTAGCCGTCTTGTCGCCATTACAAAATCTCATTTTGTATTTTTCAGTTGGTCAAAAATAAATTGCTGAAATTATGTTGTATGTTAGTCTGTAGGAGTAAACCGAGTATTTCATGTGAAGACATGAAATTTGAGCACATGAAGAGTTGCGGAGGGATTGAAAATTGAAACCCCCAAATGGCACGTACTTGACACTTACACAATGGATAAACAAAATTATTTCATTTCACTGGATTCATTTGGAGGGTTATAGAATAATGTTCAAACAATTTGTAAATAGTTTTACATAATTTTCATTTTAACGCACAATTCATAGAATAAACAGATATTTTATGGGTTAAACAATACCTTGTATTCTTGGTGAATGGCTTCCAAGCTTACGTTTTACGTTCGTTTCGACTATATAGTTATTCTAGTTGTGTTATAAATCGGTTTATAAAATCCATTTAATACATATCCCCAAAGACATAGTGATATAAAAATCAATATTGTATTTTCAAATCTTTCAACTCGTAGATATAGGACAGTTTACAAAACTAAATATGAATAACCAGAATAAAAAACAACCAAAAAGAATAATTTAAAAATAAAAAAGATTGCTGGTAGAAAAATTGTCCGCAGATAAAAAAAAATGAACATCATTGTAAAACCGATACATTCCTCGTTTTGCTCAGAATCTAAAAACGCCCATAAGGCTACGACATCCGAACTTTATACTTAATAATATATGAATGCCCGACAACGACGACATCCGGGAAGGTAGGAAAAACAGGAATGCCTTTTAGGATTTACGATTACTAAACACGACCACAATAATAATATAATAAATAAAATATCAAACGTAGTACAGCGACTCTTACGATCGCTGTGCATTATAATATAGTAGGTAGTCATTTTTTTTATTTTTTTTTTTTTTTTACACACAATACTTTTAATCAAATTTCAAGTTTATATATACGTATCAGCTTTATAACAGTCAACGCGCATGTATAATACATGACAACAAACAAATGACACGACGTACCTAAATGTATTTATTATTCTCTTGTGAAAGGGATTCGAGCGGAGGGTGTGCAGGGCCAGGGGAAGTAAATAAACTACAGTCGAATTTCATACACCGGATTGTGAATTGTGATGCAGCAGCTTATAGCGGGTGAACAATTTGTATTTCCGAATACGACTCCTCCGCAACTATATATATATATTTTACAATATAAACACTAAGCGCTTTCATTGTGAGGTTAAAAGTTCGTGATCGAACATGAATAATCTATAATAAGTACCTACTTAATTTATTCCAAAATTAATATAAATATTATGATTATATAGGCATAAACCAAGAATACGTATTTACATTTTGTTTTTTTTTTTTTTTTTGTTTTTTTTTTTTTTTTTTTTTTTTTTTTTTTTTTTTTAATTATGTTAAATCGAATATTGAAAAAAAAAATAAAAAACTACCTAAACATTATCCTTTCGTGTACACATTTGCAAGTTGTTTAAACCGTTGCGAGATACGAGATATGGGTATAGTAAATTATTAAAACCGAGAAAAAAGTCGTGGACGACCCGCGAATCGTAATAATATAAAATATTTTTACATCTCTACAAAAAAAAAAATTATTAAAATCGTATACCGTATAGGTGACCTTATGTTCATATTTGTAAAAAAAAAAAAAAAGGTTATATAGTTTATTTTTTTAATCAGGTTGGTTGAATCGGAACGAATAAGTTATCCTACGTAGGTACAGACATATTTTATAGTAACTACAATATGTATAGTGGGTTCTATTTCACATAAAATGACCCGAAAGAAAATAAAATTAAGTGGGTTATACTCATATATGAGATTCATGTTCTTTTTTTTTAACTTGAACAAAATTATAATTTCACCGTTTTGTTAAAAATCAATAATTTAAGATAAATTACTCGACAGATAAAATTAAAAAGTCATGCGTCATTCTTCGCACCATGGCAACTGATTCAATTACTGGTGTTTAATGGTTACAGGTGTAGGTAGAATATTATGAGAAAATAAATTAGGTAGTAAGTATAGAATGTAAAGTATTAGGTAATTTATTTTATAAACTAAAAGTAATGCATTGTACACGATGCATTATTGTAATCAAAAATCAATGCTTAGTGGAGAGTTATGTTGTATTAGTATAACATCAAATCCTCCCTCAAGCATACCCAAATTCTCTGTTTTGCTGACGACATACAGATCTTCCTAAAGATTAACACTTTTGAGGATTGTCTCAACTTGCAAGATGATCTCAATAATTTTTCTGTCTGGGTTGATACTCTCGATCTCTCATTAAGTATTAATAAATGCCGGTCAATGACATTCACCAGAAGTCGCTCTCCTACTACTTATTCTTATACTTTGAATGGCTCCAACTTGATTCCTGTTGATTCTAGCATTTGTGATCTTGGCTATACTTTTACTTCCTCTCTTCGTCCCCGTGCTCATATCGATAAAATTACATGCAAAGCCTTAAAGGTATTGCATTGGGTTTCATTAAAATAATATCCAGTGATTTTAAACTTCCCCGGTCTCTTAAATTCATTTATTGTGCACTAGTACGACCAGTTCTCGAATATGGCTCTGTTGTTTGAGATCCACAAACGTCTGATACCTGTTTACAACTCGAACGGGTGCAGTGTAAATTCTTTTGCTACATGAAGCATACCTTGATTGTTAATTACGCCCCTCATGATTATACTCCCCTTCTCCGTCTTCTTAACTTATCCTCCTTACCTGACCGTCACCATTCTAATAATCTTATTTTTCTTAATAAGCTCTTATCTAGCTCCGTTGACTCCCATTCCCTTCTTGTTCTAATTAACTTTAAAGTTCCTGTTAGGTACACCCGCAACTCACATATCTTTCCTGTTGCCCTTCTTATTATTTTGAAATAAAACGAGCCAATTAACCGTATGATGAAGTTAGCCAATGATGAATTAATTGTTCCATAAAATTATGTTACCGTATTACCTTATTTTTGTTTTTTGTTTATGTTTATTTTTGTTATCTTTTACATTTGTGTCTTTATTTCACATTTGTAACATGTATCATATTTTGTCAACTTTACACCATAATATCGTAACCTAGGCTTACGCCCGTTTATTTTAAATAAATAAATAATGCTTTTTCTTTAAAGCCAAGATAACCCAGAGATCAACAATTATAAAACATCGTAATTTGTTGTCGGTTTTTTATAGTTAATTGTTTAAATATTGTTTGAGATCTAAACCGTTTTCATATAAAGTAAGTACTACCAGACAAAAATCCGCATTATTAAGGTAAAATATGAATAAATTATTCTATTTGTACTAACCAAAGAAGTGTTTTTCGAGAAAAAAAATACATCTTGGTTAATTGTAATGTAGTTTCTTCGCTAGTTCACTACACTCAGAATCTAAATTGATAGCATTATAATAAATGTTATTAAGAAAATATAAATAATATTATAAAATATAGAACATATTGTTAATAAAGAAACAAAAAAAAACGGACATACTTTATACGATAGATGGGCCATTGTTGTAGGTGAAAAGTGGAGAAAATAAAATATAGAAGGGAACTTAACCTAATATATCTGTACGCGATAATCAATTATTGACAAAAAAAAAAAAAAAAAAACGATTATGAACTGAGTTCGATTAGACATATTTTGAAAGGCGATAATATTTTCGATTTTTGTGAAAATTTGATATTAAAATTCTTATAAAAAATTTAAAATATTACATTAAACTCAATTTTTTCTTATTGACCGCCAAGGACAACTTATAATGAAATTTTCAAGTATTTCTGATTAATCTTTGCGTACAGATATATATTAAATTTCCCTTCCAACTGCTTAACGTCTCTATGACAGTGGCTCATCTATCGTGGATTAATTATTTTTTAAATTGCGTTAGCCCTTCCCCCCAATTAAAAAACTCTGTTAACTATATTTTATTATTAACCATACGTTCGTAAAAAATTAGTAGTATACGATAAAATAATAATATCAACACCGTAGTGCTTGCAAATAAACGACACAAAACTAATACAAATGAATATGGGGGTACGATCTGAATGGTGATTACATTCTGCCTGATAATGTTGAATGCATGTGGACATGACGTATATAGCACCATTATTATCATTTTTTTGTTATCAGTGTAATCAACGGAATGTCAAAAATGTTGAAAATAGTCAATATTTTTATTTATATAACAAAATAATACGCATAATATGCAAATAATTATGCATTGAACATAATACAGTAGATTTTAACGAGCTCAATAATAATGATAATTGATGACTAATAAATAATAAAAATGTTAACACATTTATTCTGTCAAATTTACTGTTGCTATTAATATATCTTCAAAATGTTCATTATTGGTGATTTTTGTATTGTTTTCTTTGAATACAATAGAATACTAGACCTAACGGAGATGGAAATTATTATTTTAAAAATTCAAACTCCTAAAAGCAGTGATATATTGCCAAATAAATTTTAGACTATATGAGTTAAGAAGGAACGAGACCTAGACGCTAACCGGGACTTTTCTTTTAAATATACAGAAGAAATGAAATTATTAAACTAGTCATATTATACATTATAATAGTATTTTGTTCAAAATATACTTGTTATGGTTAAGTTTGGTTCCTTTAAAACATTATAGGGTGGCGGCCACGGTCTTATAAGTTGAAGTCGGAAAACTCACCTATCGCATAGTGAGAAATGTATTGGGTTTTACAATGACTTTTTTTTTAATCTGGAAACAAATTTTATAACATCACATATTTTGCTGAGACTAACAAATTAAGTTTTTGGTAGCAAACTCGATTTAGTTGGTGCATTCAAAAAGTATTTTTTTCTAATTGTTTTCTTAATAATGATTAAAAGCCTAGGAAAACAGGAAAAATTACTGCACTAATGGTTTCATTATTTTCGATTTGGTTTTGTTCCGAAAATGCTCCATGACAATGTATGTGCTAAGCATAAACCTACAACCTAAAAACTTTAGTGATTGAAAAACCACGTCAGGTGTATACGAGAACACAAATCTTAATTAATTAATCTTCTTTGTGCATGCGTAAGTACCATCGAAATTTCCTCGCAATGGCATACCCATTGGGATTATTGGACAGGCGTAACTTTAATGACTAATTTAGGAGAAGCAAGTTGCAAATCAAAAATATAACACATTTAAACTATAAATTCAACTCTGTTTTGGTTTTTTTAAAAAAAAAAACCACTAAAATGTTATCAATTTTAATAAAAATGTCAGTATCTCGATATTCGTCTAGTAAACAATTTGACAGGTTCGTAGTGTTACAAACGGCAATAGATCACTTAGTTATTTAATCTCCTGCTGACATAATAAGAAACCTAAGAAGCTACACATCGTTTTATCTATATCATGTTTTAATATATCATATAATTTTACTACTTTAAATTAGAATCTCATCGTACGACCTAAACTGCGTTCAATAAGAAAAAAACGATGAAACTTGTCCTTCACTTCGCATCAGTTACCCCCTTCTCATACCACTCCATAACGAATGTCACGTCTTTTAGGTCATGATCGTCGATCAACGGTGCCGTCATTAGAGCATACGTAGTTGGATAGAACGGTGGGCCCATGTACATGCGTGGTACAGAGTTGCGTGATGATCGCCACGTAGTATGTATAGTATATTATAAAAGTTAGTTGTGCTTAGTGTGGGTAAACGTGTCCATAATATTGTCAAAGTTTTTGAGTTTGAATCTAACCATAAAATACCAAATTTTTAGTGTTTTTTCGTTTTTTTTTTTTTTTTTCGTCCATAGGAGTTTTTCATCCACTAGATTTTAGATTGTATGCTTACATTTAAGACAACAATTCTCTTAGAACATTACCATGTTTGAACTGGTAGGTACCTAGGTGAATTATTTCAATACCTTCTCTGTTTTATTTAAACCCGTGATAGCCTTTCTATCGACTAAATAGTAATTTTTAGGTCTATACTAAGGATGGGTTTCTGGAAAGTGCATCTCGGTAGGAGCAATGAAACGATATGAATCAGTTAACGTTCAAAATGTTAAGTTATTATATACTACTTTACTTTTTTCTACGATAACCACAGCCACGCGTGTAAGCACACTGGCAGTCGTTGCATAACAAAGGTTTTTCTTCCCAGAACACCATCTTCAAAGTCTAAAATAAATGTGAAATTAAACTTTATGGTCAAGTTGAAAATAATATTATTTGTAGTCGACGTACCTAGTATAGAAAAACGCTAAATATTTATTTGACTAAATAAATCAAATCACCCCCACTGCATACGGTATTAAACTGTGTTCGTTATTTCCAATAAAATCTGTTCAATATAATATTCGATAGCATTCGAAATTATAGGTACATCTCACTAGTTTTTTATTTTTATTCAATGGGAACGCTTTTTGCGTTTATATTCAATTCGATAATAACGCTACTCGTGTTATTTGTTGGCCATTGCAATAGAATGTACCTATACATACACTCGCTGTCCCCGAATGCACATTTCCGTTTACATACCTTGTAACGCCACAGAATTTGCGTTAATAATAGCCTGCAAAGAGTTGACTGCATAAATTAAAAGTGGTTTTAATACACGGCAGTGTCACTTCACTATCAAAATAAAATGGTAGCCAAATGCGGAACCAATTAGAATGGTTTATTCTATCACGAGTCGTGTATTCTTATAAAATATTCAAAAGTCCAAATCTACGACCGTCTGACCGTGTTCCGAACGATTCAATGATAATATTGAAAAGAAAAAAAGAAAATTATATTATTAATATAAATAATTCTATCAATAATTTTAGATTTTTAGAAAAGTTGTCTCCATAGTCATTTTGGAAAATCATAATTTATTATAAGGAAGCAATTAATTGCATGTGACTGTATGTATACATAGTAGTCATGTCATGACTACTATGTGTTCATAGTCACAGTAACATACTATGATCGTGTGTTCAAAACGTCAACGAGGCGAATGGATTCATGGAGGCATGTTTATGACGCAAAGCTAGCCCGAACACGCGCTATTTAGACATATGAGTTCCGTTCTTCCGCATACCGCAACGCGCTCCCGATCGCCTTCTCCGGATCGTCGGTCACATTTGACTATGGCTGATATACGGGTGATTTAAGATTCTGAGCAAAGAGAGAAATGTTTTGGTTAGGTTTTTTTTTTCTCTCTGAACAACTTCTCTATCAGAAATTTTCATCAGATTCAAATGTGTAGCACTTTCTCAAAAAGAAAATCTGACTGGTATGGTACACTGAACTGGTCATTTTTTTTATTTTTCCAATAGTTTTTCTAAGAAATGTGAAAAAACCGGGAAAATTTACGAAATGTATTATTTTCAAATCGTAAATATTACAGTCTTTCAAAACATTTATAACTGAACTCCGCTCATAATCGTTTTTCACGATTAGATATTTTTCAATAGGGTGAGGTGGGAAAGTGGCACCTAAATATTTTTATCAATCAGCCGTCGTTAATTGATTCCTCGTGACGAATCTCAGATTGAAAATAAGCGATTTATATGCTACAGATAGGTCATTTTATATAATACAATATTTTTTACGTCAAAAGTATACGATTTGGGCGCTTTTTACAATTTCCAGGCATCATGTGAAATACCTGTCATTTATTAG